AGGACAGGAAGAAAACACAGGGTAAGTGAAAGTTTGCTTGAAGGTCACCCAGAAGGGGAGCCGATAGTCAGACCAGGTCAGCTCTCCTCTTGGCCAAAGTCTCCTGACCCCTGAGATGAAAACAGCGGGGGCCCCCTCCAGGGAGGGTTTGGAGAGCAGAAGCTAAATCAGCCACAGGTTCCTTTTGTGTTGATTGAGTCACAAAACCGCCAGGAGCTGCCAAGTAGCACGAGATCCTGCACTAGGTTTGGAATAAGAAGGCCCTCAGCTCCAGCCCCAGCCCCACTCCCAGCCCCAGCCCCAGCCCCAGCCCCAGCCCCAGCCCACTAACGGTGTGCATCACAGTGCTGCCCTCTGCAAAAAGGTGAAATGCAAGAGTCAATTTAACACAGCTCTTCCACACAGAGCTGGAACATTTTCAACCCAGAGTGTGACCTCCCTGCAGCCCTGGCCCAGGCCCTCTCACAAGGAGGAGGCCAGGAGCACGTGAAATTTAACAAGCTGTGAAGCCAGCCGGGCACAGAACCCCCGGCGTGGAAGGCTCCCCTGTGAAAATGCAGGAGGAAAGGCGCAAAGGTTAGTCCCACTGGTAGGGAGAAGATAAGGTTGGGGGTGGAGAAGGAGAAAGGTGGAGTCAGCCAAAGGCAACAACAGGCCTTTCACAAATGCCTCAGAGCAACAGTGGGGAGGAGGAAGAAATAAGCTCATTAATAAACAAGAAGGGAAGGAAATGACTGCTTCAAGAATGTCTGGGGCACTGAACAATTTTAAAAATAAAACTAGAGAGGCCCTGCGTAAATGGCAGGGGATCCACGTCCACCTGACAGCCCTTGGAGCTAACGCTAAGGGAGGACAGCTTGCACCAAGGGGCATGGGGCCTGAGATAAAGGAAGCGGTCACCTGGAGGGATGGGCCATCTCTCAAGCCAGTTCTTTCCCTCCCCTCTCCTCCTTTCTTTTCTTTCTCTTCCTTTCTTTTCTTTTCTTTTTTTTTTTTCTTTTCTTTTCTCTTTCTACAGTCTCACTCTGTCTCCCAGGCTGGAGTGCAGTGGTGCGATCATAGCGCACTGCAGCCTCGAACTCCTGGGCTTAAGCAATCCTCCCACCTCAGTCGCCCCAGTAGCTGATACTACAGGCATGTGCACCAGAGTCAGCAATTTTTTATTTTTTATTTCTTGTAGAAACTGGGCCTCTTTGTTGCCCAGGCTGGTCGCAAACACTTGGGCTCAAGCGATCCTCTCACCTCAGCCTCCCAAAGCACTGGAATTACAGGAGTGAGCCACTGTGCCTGGCCAAGCTTGTTACTTTCTTAGGGAGAGGACATCATAGTGGCAAGAGCACATGTCTTGCATTGGCCTCCACCAGATTTGAACTCGTCCCACCTCTATGCCCTCAGGCAATCTCCCTAGCCTCTCTACATGGAAGTGTCCTCATCTGTGATATGCAGCAAACAGCAGCGCCTTCCTGTGCAGGCTCTTTTTGGGATTACACCAGACTGTAGGCGTGCTCAATAAACGGCAGCTATTTGTATTTACAGGCTCACGATCTCTTCTCTATAAACTCCCAGATCCAAAACAATTGAAAACCGAAAGGGCTTTGGTAACCCATTTGACAACAAAGACTGGTCGGATCTAGACTCATTTGACAGTTAAAGCTGAACTGAATTGCTACTAGACTATTTATATTGTATACTTACAGTTAAATATTTAGCTGCAGAAATATACATATGTTTGGTTAGGGGATGCTACTCCAGACCCCATTAGGGGATGGTACATAATATGCAATGTTTGCACATTTCTTCTCTGAAATCTGGACAATTCTAAATCATGTTGGTTTAAAGAGTTTCAGAAAAAACGAAATAGACCTATACTATGGTGAATCTCAGGCCCACATCCCTCATCAGGGGCAGCATGGGTCTCGCAGGGAATCCTGACCTTAGAATAGAGCATCAGCCTCAGAATAAGGCTCCCCCTATTCTGTAAGCCTTGGCTCCATCAGCCCTGCTCAGAAAAACGGCAAGGAGGAGTCCAATGTATTAGCTGTTAATGCTGGTATGCAATAATCTTGATCTCCAAGTTGCAAAAACCCAGTTGGAAGAGATAGAAATGTAAAGCGATCGGAATGACTACTATACCCAGTACAGAAAATATATGAGTTTCACGAGAAGTTTCAGGAGTCAGACTGACACTAAAGTTGATGGAATTTTAAGAAAAAGGATGCTATTTTTATTTAGCATTAAGTTATTTTTTTTCTATTGTAGCTTAATTTTGGTCCTATCTGAAGATAAAGCTGGACTTGAAGCCAGGATTTAGGGCATAATGGTATGGTAGTAGCAAGCAGCTTTCACAGAACAAGGAGGAAGTAAGATCAAGGTGCAATTGGAAATCTGGGTGTACAGGTACCAGAAAAGAAGATGCTCTAACTGGGGAGTCAGGATTTAGGGGGTGAGGTGGGTGGGGAGGGCAAGTGGGGAGGTAAGAATGTTTAGCCATGAAATTTGGAAGAGGTGAACTTGGTAAAGAGGAAAGAGGTGTGTGTAGGGATAGGCAGGACCATGCCTGTTGGGGTAAGTGGGCGTCTGTGCTGCACACGTACCTTACTGGTCCACATTCTCCCCCTCACCAAATCTCTCTCCCCCTCGCCAGGAACCTACTGGAATATCCACACCTGCATCTGCCATGGTGAAGATGGAAATGCACTCTCCCCAACCTGGGGATATCTTGGGCCCAGCACAGGGCACAGGTAACTATTACCCAAGCTCACTTTCAACACATGGCTGTGCCCTCTTTCTGGGTTGCCGAGGTCACCTGCAGGAGGCTAGGAGGGTGACCCTAGCGTCCCTGTGTTGGATGTGAATCCCAACCCTGTACGACCCTGGTCAGGTTACTTCATATCCCTGAGTTCAGTTTCCCCTTTCCTAAGATGGAATGATAGCCACTGCAGCTGACTCCCAGAGTTCTGTAAGGGTCAAACGAGACGGTTCCTGTAAAGCTGAGGCAGGACCCAGCGCGTGGTGATTTCCCCATCCGTGCACCCAGTGCCCACTGCTTGGTGGCAGCTCCAGGGCTCCCAGCCATGCCAAGCAGCCCATCTTGTGCAGATATCCACAATCCCAGGTAAGACGATTGAACCTTAAATAAATAACAGCATTTGCTTTTAGGGTCTCCCTGACCAGCAGCTGTTAATTTGGAGACTCATTATTTTCTTGATCATATTAATTTAAGCCCTCAGTCCCCAAATCTCTCAGCTAAGTAGCTTTGCCACTTCCTACTTTTCTACTCACAGCAAACTCATGCCTGGCTCCTTTTTCCAGCCTTCAGTGGTAGTGGTATCAGTGAGAGTCCCAGTTGTGCGGTTTTGCTTTGACAGGATTAACAGAGTGGAACCGGGACTGCAATTACAGGCAACAAGGTGGCACCATGCCTAAGATGCCTTCTCTTTTGGGATTCTTTCAACACTTCCAAGTTTTATTGGCATAAATGATTTTAAGAACCTTTTTGAAACTTCAGATAAGAAGTTCTAAAAGAGAGGCCATTTGAACGATACCCTTTAGGATTCGAAAAATGCTCACTTTGCCTTTCCCTCCTTCTTAGTTATGTCTTGCTTCTTATTTATGCTGAGAGACGTTTCTTTGACTCTCAGAGCACTCGCCTATATTTCATGCTTCCAGCACAGCTGCTTCATCCAAAATGAGGAAGGGTTGCAATGGAAGAGAACTCAGAGGAGGGCTGGAGACGGGACCACTGTACCACCTGGGTCTTGGAAGCTGCCTTCCAAAGACCGGCCCAGACACAGCAGAGGGATTACTTAGCATGGCCTTTATCACCTCCGGGGCATGTGGAGCGCTGAATCCTAATTCTAAAATGAGTCCTGAAATTGTTTCAGTAAAATTCATCATTGAGGACTTACAAAATAGGAGATAAGAAGTAGGAGATGTGAAAGAATAAATCCATGGAACACATATGACAGATTTAGCAAAAATTAAAAACTTCTTCACTTTGACACTTACCTGAGTGTCACCCAGAGAAAATTCAGCACGTTGTGCCAGGCATAGTGACAAGCACGGTATGACATCATTCTATCGTGAATCCCACAAGGTGCCTGTTACGGCTGTGGTAACTTGCCTCGGACAGAAGAGAAAGCGGAGGCTCAGAGCAGTTAGGGAGGCAGGTCCATGTTGGAGCCAGGATGCAAATACAGGGCTGTCTGTCCCCACAGCCTGCACCCCGCTGTGTGCCTTCCTCAGTCAGCACAATTTTATGGGACGGAGTGTTCTAGTCATGATACAGCAGCAACAGTGAATTTCGCAATGTAACTAGATTTTCTTTCTTTTTTTTAAATTAAACTATCTCATATTTGCTCCTGTTTGATCCCTTTTGCAATTTTTATTCATTTATTTTCTTATTCACTCACTCATTCATTTGGTGCTGTTTCTCTCTTTCACACACACACACACACACACACGAATAACAACTAAAGTCACTGTCCTTGAAGAATTTAAAGTGGAGTCTGTTTAGTTTGCTCCAAGGTGAAGATTCATGCATTTTACCAGAAGATAAGAGCCAAAAAAAGAAAAAAAGGGGGGGAGAGAAAAAAGCAGGTTAGAGACAAAAGGAAGAGATGACATCTTACAAGTATAAAGCCTATTCAATAAAATGTGATTTCATGATTGTCATCTGACCACATCCCTGGCTTTTTTTTCTGGTTAGTAAGGAAACAAATGACCAATGACCATATCCCTGCTGTTTGTAAGCTGCACTGTGAGTTCCTGCGAAGAACAGTGTAAAAACGTCTCTGTTTACAGAGGAGAGACAAATTTACTTTCCATTTCTGATAACAACAGAGTCCATCTTCCCTGCTGCCAAAGATTTTTTGAAACAGCGCAAACACTGCTCCTTCGCATTTCTGAGAGAGGGCAGAACGGGGTCATCGTGTTGCTTGACAGAGGGCCGTGATAACTGTCTAGAGATATTTAAAGGGTGTAAATGAAGACTTGATTGCTTTAAGATAACTTGGTACTAACTTCGTTTATTAAAGATGCAAAAGATTCGGGTGAGGTATGTCAGAACCCCAATCCTTCAGAAACATTTTACGGGGCTGGGGGTATGACCCACCCAGTGAGTGGCACTTGAGCCCTGAGTGGAGAGGGTCTTTGGGGACTGTATCAGAGAGGAGGACATGAAGCCGTGGATGAGACCGGTCTCATCGTGGCCTCCCCAAAGACCTCGCAAGGGAGGACAGTCACAACACAATGGCATTCCAGAGCAGTGGAAGGTATTCATTAGCACTCCAGTGAGGAGAGAGAAAAAACAGAAGGAAGAACAGAGAGGAACAGAGTCGAGCTCAGGGAAATGCAGATTACCCAGCTTGTTGACAGTCGGATACCTCATTCCGTTTCGTTTTTGACTCTGCCTGTCCACCTTTCTCGTGTGTCTCTGTTCTTCGCATCTTCCATGGAAACACGTGATGAGGACAGGGTGAAAGCTCTCAGAGCAGTTAAATTGTATTCCTTTTTGGCAACTCTAGTGAAGCCCTGTTTGATGAATTTGGAACTATTGATTGTGATAAAGTTATTAAGGTTAAAGCTTCTTGGAACATTTACGGATATCACTTATCCCGATAGCAGCTCCCCAGTTAATATGGATAATTGAATTTGGGAGATAAATGCACTATTTTAGGGAGCAGGAGATGCTGTCGCAGAAGAAAATGAAAACACGTGGAAAGGAATCATGTCAAGCTTAACATCCGAGTTGAAGGCCAGCTCTACGGAACTTGGATTTTTTAATAACCTGTAAATGGTCTCAGAGGAATGGTGAGTTGATGAAGTCTTCTGACTGGAGTAAGTCACATAATTAAGAGGTTATTTGTAACAGACCCAGTGAACTACAGGGTATTATTCAAAGCAAAAACCAAACCAAACCAAACCCTCTGGATCAGATGGCACGAAGATGTAGACAGCGTCTCTTATGCCTTATGTAGGAAGTGCCTAATGATTGCTTTGCAAATTCTGACTAGTATAATTCCTAAACAAGAGGCAAATGTCTTAGTGTCATCCAAGTGCTATAAATGAAGTTAAATGGGAACATACGGTTAACATTTCTATAGGACTATACGTTTGCCAAAAGATTAATAATCACTTGTTCCTTAATATTCATAACATCCCTCTAAAGCAGAATTTCCCACACTGGGACTGGCAGGCCTCAGGGATGGTGGAGGAATTTCAAGAGGATCATGGGGATTGGAGCTGTAGTATTTCAAACAGCTCTCCGGTGGTGATGGAAAATTGTGGGCTGGAGGAGGGAGGTACGGAGCTCCCGGCACCCTGTGCTCACTGGGCAAGTCCCCCTCTGAGGCCTCGGGCCCCTTGTAGGGACCAGACCTGCTTCGTTTCAGGAATCCTAGAATTCTTTTTCCACTCTCTCCTGTCCTCGTGTCGGTGCCAGCTCCCACCCTAGGCTCTGGAGGCTTCGGGGCCTGTATTTGAATGCCAGATTTGGTCCTTGCTTGCTGGATAACTCTGGCAAGTTTCTTACCCTCTCTGAGCCTTGAGTAAAACACTGAAAAATGTTGGATGATCACTTACCTGATGCAGCTGTGAATAAGATATCACCTTTAGCACATTATCAGCATCCAGTGATTCGTAGTAGTAGGTATTCGTTCCCTTTGTCTTTCCAGGTACTTCTTGGATGTTTCAGAAAACAACTACAAAAACCTTTTCGTTTTGAGGACTGTCCTCTGAATCTCTGATGAAAGCAAATAGGAGATACATACCCATGGAACAATACAGATAAATAGATGACATCACAAATATTTCAATATTTCAGTACTCAGTAGACTACATTGATATCATCAAGCTTAATCAACCCTGCACAGTTTATTGCTTCTGACTGCCTTGCAGACATAGGTCACCAAAAACTGTGTTGGACCTGTGGTCCTGATTTTACCCCCAAAGACTCCAGCTTTAGCAGAGGCTGGTGACTTTTGTTTTCCAGGACAGTCTATTGTCCTGGATGATATAATCAAAGTATGTAAGATTTCTTTTTTCTGAAGGACAATAGAGACCCTTTGTCCCAAAAAGAAAAGCTACCCCTTCAGGTGTGCCGGTGGCCACTGCATCAGGACCTCGCCCTTCACACACATTATTCCATTCTGAAAATGTCTGAACACTTTCTTATTTTCCATGTCCCAGTCTTAAACTGGATTGAAGGAGGAGGTTAAGGCCACAGTATTCGATGAGAGTGGCAATGAGGGTGACGTGAAGTTCAACTGTGGCTTCTTACTATAGAGTATCCCTGTTCTAAAGGGAAGTCTTGTGTGATCACAGTTCCAGAAAACTGAGGAATTCAATGACTGGGATACTCAGTAACAATGAAAAAGTTGATTAGTTAGTGTTTCAGCAGAGCGGGGAGGGGAGAGATTTCCTGGTGTGCAGCCCTGCTTGTGACTGCCAGTACCTGCAGGAGGAGAAGCAAATCTCGAAGTTGTCCCTCATCCATACAACATTATATTTAAAGAGAATTCCTGCTAGCTTAGAATATAACCCTGGCCACCACCCACTTCCGTGTCCAAATGTCTTGCAGAAAGATAATTTAGAAAGCCCGGACCTGACTTAGAGATGGGTAGTATTCAAAAAGGAACACACACAGTACCTATAGATGAAAAGAGAATGAATGAAACAAGAAAAGCAAATACATTATGTTTTAAAAAGCTTCACTAGAAAAATATTGCCACAAAACAGATGACATTTATGATCCAACATACTGTCATGAATTTAACAAGAAAAGAAAAAACTTAGTGAAACAATCACCTTTAAAAAACAGGAGCTCAAAAAAACAAATATACAATAGTTCAGGAAATAGTTAGCAAGACAATGGGAGGTGAAACCCAAGTTGGCCGAACCTAGCAAAAATGACAGCCTAGAAACCAAGACCACAATGGAAGCAGCAGAACGGAGACCCAGATTCTACTGGAAACTGACCATATCCAAGTCCACACAGAAAATGATACTAAACTTCAAAAATTAGACTGAATCCAGAAAAGCTTCTCCAATCACAAAGCAATTCATTTAAAAACTAATAATAAAATGAGGAAGAAAGAGAAAAATTCTACCACCCGGAAATGCTAAAATATTCTTTCATGTGCAACTCTTCCACTAGGGATATATTTTTTAAAATAAAAATAATTAAGGGATATATTTTTATAAATGAAAATAATTAAGCTAGTACATATCAGAACCTATGGGACAGAGTTTAAAGCAGAATTCTGAAAAAACTTAAAGGTTTAATATTTATATTAATATAACTGAAAGAAAACACCTAGGTATATATTTTTTAAAGTAAACATTTTGGTAAAAAGGAATGTGAGATGTGGGCAAAACAAAAGAGATAAAAATAATTTTTAAAAGTGTAAGTAAGAGTAAAAATTTAACACAAAATATAAATTATATAAAATGTAACTTTAAAATGTTATTGAGGAGGAAAAAATGAAAGAAATGGAAAGGCATGCCATATTCTTAAGTAGGAAGACTTAAAGCAAAAAATTTAATTCTCCCAAAGATATCTATAAATGGAATTTGAAGCAATAAAAATATAGGATTTTAAAAAGCTAGATAAGCTGTTACTAAAACTTATAAGAAAAATCAACAGACATTATTCGATGTCTGGTAATAATGGACTTAGTTATTTAGATTAATTCTTCCAGTTAAAACAATGAATATTTGGATAAAATGTTAAACAAACTTGATTTTAAAAGCACTGCAAAGCTGACAAGATAATCAGGACTTCCCAAATGATTAGATTTTGCCCTGATTGGATTTTGCCCATGGTTGATCAGGATAAGTTGAGTTGGCTGTGGTTTTCATGAACTCTCAGACTGAAGAAGACAAAAGTCAAAGGCCAGGACTCACTCAAGGTAGGAAGGAGTGTCTCATAGGAGACTTTTCTCCCACATTAAGCTGTGAGTCCCAAGAGGTTCACCCTCAGGGTAAGGACAAACCAAAGGTGAACCTGCTCTCCTTCCCTCTACCCCAGGGGACCATGGGAGAGTTACCTTGACACTAAGCAAAGCAGAGAAAAGAAAAAGAAAACCTGTCCCTGATAGGACGTCATCACTGAATCATTGGCCAGCAGCATTTGCCCATATGCTGCTCAAATACATGTCTTTGGGATGAGCCAAGAAACTCTGAGCTATGAATTTAAAGTGATACGCAACCATAGTGTCCCCAGGCACCTGGCAGAAGCAAACTCTAATCATCTCTGGAGGCAGATACTTTCATCCTAGGCTTCGAGGATTTTGTATAAATGGTTTCTCAAGGGCAGTAGGCAGTACAGTTGAAGATTACCAAACACTAGAAAACAAAGCACCAATAGTTAATGCCAGCAAAATAGACAGCAGAGGAGAGTTATACAACTGCAGCTGTTTTGAATGACACTGAATACAAAGAGCTATGCTAATTTTATTTAAATAAATGAAATTTAATATAATGAATGAAATTTAAATAAATGAAAATTTATTTAAATGAATGAAAGTTAAGCTTTAAAGTACCTGTAAGAAATAGAAAACAATAAAAATTGACATGGTGGGTTTGAAAAAGATCAACTAGCACTTCTAAAATTAAAAATAGAGTAACAGAAATTGAAAAGTCAGTGAGTGGGTGTGGTGGCAGATTAGACACTGTGGAAGACAGAATTAGAGAACTGAAGATAATGTGAACAAATTATACAGAATTATAGTGCAGAGAGGCAAAGAAATGAAAAATATAGGAGAGTGGTAAAGAGACATAGAGGACAGAGAGAGAATCTCTTTTTTCCAAGAAAGTCTTTCTTCTCTTTCAAAAGTGTAATTGTTATTTCAGAAGATGAGAAAAAAGTGAGGTGGTAGGTTATTGAAAGAACAATAATAACTATTAAAGATAAGTGTAAAGAAATTTGCATCAAAGAAATTGCAGAATAAAATTTGCACAAAGAAACTGCAGAATATATAAAAAAGAGAAAATCTAAAAAGCAGCTAGCTAGAGTTGGGGTGCAGTGGAGTATGATGATTAATGAATAAGACTACCCTACCAGGTGTCAAATGCATTGTAAAGTGGTATCAATTAACACCTCATGGTATTGGTATATGGGTAAGTAGATAGAAATATATATGGTAAACTAGTATATAACAAAAGTTGGTAGCTTAAATCAATAGAGAAAAGGCAGCTTAAGTCAATAAATGATACTAAAATATATAGACTTCTGAAAAAATATGTATATACTGAGATTCCAATGGATCCAAAATTTAGAAAGAAAAAAACCTCAGAAGAGTACTAGAAGAAAAAAAGAATATACTTTAAAAATAAATTCAGAATAGTAAAGGCTTTTCTACATATAATAGAAACTGAGAAACTATAAAATAATATATTGATAACTTTCACTACCCAAAAAATTTTAAGTGTGTCTTGTATTATAATATTATATAATATACAGATGTATAATAATATAATACATGAATAAAAACAATGAACTGGAAAAAACACGTGCAACTCATTCACTGATTAAAGACAAATTTGTTTTAGACATGTGAAGAACTTATACAAATCACTGTGCAAATACTAATCAAATGGGAGATGGCCAAAAGCTCTAAAGCATTTCACCAAAATATCTTTAAAGAAGGATACTTATCAAATTGACACAGGTTTTGAGAAAAATACTCTTACATGCAAAGTGTTGTGCTGGACATTGGAACAGTAGAACTGAATAAAGAAGGCTTGCCTTCATGGAGTTTAAAATCTGGTAGGAAAGACAAGTATTCAGCAAGTCATTTTAACAAATAATCGTTTAAATACTGCTGTGAGAAGTGCTACAGTGGAAAGATATAGGATGCTAAGAAAGAAAAAACAGAGAAATCCACCTTCCCCCAAAGGGGTCGATACAGCTTTTCTGAAGAAAAGATCTTTAAACTAAGACCAGAATGAGTTAGCCGGGTGAAGAATATATTCCAGGGTGAATATACTTCGGGCAGAAGGAATAGCCCTTGAAGATACCTTGTGATAAGAAAAAGCCTGAGATTATTAAAGACCAGAAATAACAAAACAAACAAACCAATATACAAAAAAAAGTGGGTGTAGAGGCAATAGGAGAGGGGTGTGACATGACACCACCGAATGGATTTATGACGAAAGGAGTCACTCGCTGAATCTGAAAGAGAATATTCATCTTCTCTGCCTCCTGGCACCACACAGATAGGCCACTGACCTGGGTCCATGTGGCAATGTTTTTATCCTTTTTGTCATATTGCCTGAAATATAGACTCAGAAATATCTTTTTCTATGACCAAAAAATGGCAAAAATTCTGATAGAAATGGATGATTCATGCCCAACAACTTCTAGAAGTACTCCAATTTCGAAATGTGCTGTTTTGAGAGCCCACATCTTCCATAGGTGTCTAACAGCCATGCGAGGTGTGATTTTTTAGGATATCACCTTGATGCCTGGTAACATGGCCCCAAAACGAATAAGAGCATTTTACTGTACCTGAAGCTCTGGGGTCAAGTCATATGGATACGAATGTAGAGCAAAGCAATATGGAAGCAGTATGTTCAACGTTATGACTAGTAACCCATTGGCTCATGGACAGCTTTGCCCTGGCTTCTCTGGGGGTAGTTTTCCTGCTGCATGGCACACATTTGAGGGGCACTGGAAGGAAGTCCCACAGTTTTTCCCACATTAGAGTATTCTGAGTGCTGCAAGTAGAGATGGAATGGAGA